TCACTTATAGGAAAATGGATGCACCTGCATGCCCCACACCAAAAAATGTTATTAAAGAAATTACTTGTCCAAAAAGGAAGCTCCAGTAAAGTTAGGACCTGAAAAGCTGGAGCAGAGGAGAGTTTCCTTGGTGAAGATTAGCATTAAAAAGAAGTCACAGGTGATCCAGGATGTAGCTCAATGGCACTGTGCCTGCCTGGCAAGCAAAAGGCCCTGAGTTCAATCGCTGGGACGCTGAGGCAGAGGATCACCGAGAGTTTTAGGCTAGCCTAGGCTACATAGTAAATTCAAGCCCAGCCCAAACTACACAGTGAGACTCTAATTCAAAACATCAAGGAAAAAAAAAAGAAAGAAAAGAAACAGTGGCAGCAACCAAGAACTCTGGAATAGGACAAGAGGAAAATGGCTTAAGGGCATGTGAGGAACCAGCAAACCCTACCCTTTGCAGGCTCAAAACTGCAAAAGAGAAAGACTGAGCAGAGCAGGGTGTATTATATATTAGATAATAAGTCTATTATCTAGAGAATGGTCTAGATCAGTGGGGGTGAACCTATGGCACATGTGCTGCAGCTGGCTGTTTGTTACCACTGAAAGCTCTAAAAGGTTTGCCATCATTGATCCAAATAATAATCTATTACCTACAGAATTTGTTATCTGGGTTTCTCAGTTCACAGTGCTCATCCAGGCACTCAAAAGCCTTGGGAACCACCAGCAAGATCCAAAGGGGCTTGGCTACTGCTCCAGCTGGCAGCAGATCTCAGCATCATCCACAAGGTATTAGTTTTATGCACAGGCAGAATTCAAGAGTTATGAGGCAAGGGAGGCTTCCAAACAGATTTTAGAAGGCCTGGAAGACCACATAGTGTGACCCTGTGAGGGCAGTGCATGAAGCTGTGAGAGTGAAGCCAAAAGTGCAGTGGAGACCAAAGATATTAGAAAAGCCAGGAAAGTGGACTGTCTGAGGAAAGCTTCAAGAGGTGAGCAAGGCTGGCCCAAGACAGAGGCCCTGAGAGATACAACCATGAGCAGTGCTGTTGGGGCAGGGCTACCACCTTTGGACTTCACATCTCACCACAATTTGTCCAGGGTGCTAGATATAGAACTAAAGGATTTAATGTTTGCCCTGCTAGATTCTGAACTTGCTTTGGTATCAATCCTTTCTATCCTCATATTTCTCCCTTTTGGAATTTGAATGCTTATCCTGTGCTATTCTATGCTCGAAGTATTTAACTTTTTTTGGTAGGGGAGGGGCAGCGTCTTGCTATGTAGTTCAGGCTGGCCTTGAACTCACTATACAGTCCAGGCTGGCCTCAAATTCACAGCAATCCTCCTGCCTCAGCCTCCTCAGTGCTGGAATTACAGGCATGTGCCACTGTTCCTGACTTTTTATTCATTTTTGCAGCTAAGAATTTGCCTTATTTAAATCTCAAAGGAGATTTGGGACTTAAGACTTTTTCTTCCCTGGTACCTGGGATCAAACTCAGGACCTTGCACTTGCAAGGTAGGCATGGTGCCACTGAGCTAAATCCCCAGCCCCCTGGACTTGGACTTTTAAGCAATTCTGAAACTGATAGAACTTTGGCAAGTCTGAGAGATGGACAAAATACAAACATGGGGCAACATGTTAGGGTTCATATCCAGATGTCCCCCTAAAACCTCATGTGCTTATAGGTGGGGCTTTCAGGAGTTGATTGGCTCATGGGGGCATGATACTCCATTGATGACTAATTCATTGATGAGTTTATAGCTAAATGTGATGTTGGGAAGTAAATCCCATTCTGAGGAGGTGGGTCACTGGGGGCATGACCTAGAAGGCTATATCTCCCTCCCTCCTCCCTTGATCTCTCTTTCTGCTTCCTGTAACCAAGCCATTTCTCCTCTGCCATATCACCCTGCCTTGGAGCCAGCTGAGATAACAGTCTGAAATATCCATAAATTGTGAGCCAAAATAAATTTTTTCTCCTTTAAAAATATAAAATAATCTATAATTATAAATGCCCTCAAAGAAAAGATACTGAAATTCATAAAACTCTACCAGGAAGCTCTAAAAAGGAACATTTATAGTATAAGAAAGAACATTTGGAAATATAACATCAGAAATGTTAAAATTTGACATAAACATTTTAAGATAAAAATTGAAGAAATCTCCTAGAATATAAACAGAAATACAAGAAAAATTAGGGAGATCAGGCCAGAATCTCTTTCTTCTAAGAAAACTCTGAAAAGAATGGTGTGCACCTGTGATCCCAGCACTCAGGAGGCTGAGGCAGGAGGATCACTGTGAGTTTGAGGCCAGCCTGAGATATATAAGACCCTGTCTCAAAAAAAAAAGGGATTTAACTTAGTAGCCTCTGTCTGCCTCTCAAGCACAAGGGCCTGAGTTTGATCCCTGATACAAAAAAAAAAAATTTACAAAAAGAGAACACATAAAATGTCAAATTATCCATAAAATGTGACAAGAAAAAAATTCTAGAAATTAAGAAATATCCAGATTGAAGGGTTTATAGAATGACCATTAAAAATTACATACATCAGAGTATAGTCATGATTATTTCACAGCACTTAGAATAATGAAAATTCCCAATGCTTCCAAAAAGAGAAAAAATAGCCATATACAAAACAGTAAAAGTCAGAAAAGCAGTAGACTCCGAACAGCAACTCTGAAACTAAAAAGATGCCAAGACTTCAATATTCTGAGGAAACAAGATTCCCACCCTAGAATTCTATACCCAGTCAAACATTGATAGACATTAGCAAGGGAAAAATAAAGAGATTTAAGACAGAGTCCCAAGGATTACTCTCACATGCCTTTCCTTGGGAAGCTACTAGAGAATATGTTTCACCCAAATAAGGGTGTAATCCGAGCAGGATGCCATTAAAACACAAAAAATACAGGAACCAGAAAGGACAAAGTGAAGGGAACCAGAGGATGATAATGAATAGACATTCTGGGCTGATGACTGTACACAGAGGGCCTAGCAAGTGACCAGTCCAGGCTACAGCAAGGGACACAGGACTCCAGAGATGTGCTTAAAAAAGCACTGTGCTGTTCTGTAGAAAAGTGTGGACATACTTTAAGGACATTCACACATACATACACACACACACACACACATAAATGAAAAACTTGAGGCAATGATGAACCTCAGGAAAACGAATAGTTGTATGTATATGAAAGGAGATGGTATAATACTTATACCATCTGAAAATGACTAATAATGATATAAATACTGAGTTCACCAAAACGGTGACATCTGTATACCAAAAGGAGAAGAGAAGGAAGATAGGGGAGATTTACAAAAAGTCAAAAGATAGTATCTAAAATTGAAAACTCAGAAAAAGAAAATAAGTGTATTATTTTCAAAATATAAAACTAAATTCCAGAAGAAATACCTGGAATAGTTAAAAGTGGCTCCTTCTAAGCTGGCATGGTGTCACACATCTATAATTCTAGCACTTGGGAGGCCAAGGCAGGAGGATTACTATAAGTTTGACGCCAACCTGGGCTACATAGTGAGTTCAAGGGCAGCATGGATGACATAGCAAGCAAAACCTTTTCTGAAAAACAGCGACAACGAAAAATGGTTCCTTCTAAAAGAATAATTACTAAGAGAGTGGAGGGCTGGGGCTGGAGCACTTCTGACTTCCACTAAAAATCCAATACTATTTGGCTGGTTTAAAGTGTTAAGTTATTTTTAAAACTATTTGATTGACTAATACCATACATATAAAACATGAATATATGTTATGCATACATAAGGCACACAAGATATACTTAATGTGTACTATGTAAAATATATTATAAAAATAAAAACTGAATTAAAAAAGAAAAAAATATCCCCACAAAAAATTTTTTTCTATCATAAATGTAACACTTGTGATATTTAAAATGGTAGGATCTGGATTCTGAAAATAATTCCAGAAAGTTATAATTTCTTAAGTCACCATTTTGAAAAGATCAAGAACTTGGATGTACTATGTTTTAGTATGTGTGTTCTACAAAAATGTGCCTTCGTATCTGTGGTATATAAGGATAAGTTAAAATCAGTATGTGTTAGAAAAACCTTAAATCCTTAGGTCTTACTGGATGACAGCTGGACTAGTTTGCAAAGGAGTAATTATTTGAAAATGGCAGAGTGAGGCCAGAAAGCACAAGTACACAGGCAGAAGGGATATAAACTAACGTTCTGTGTATAAGACAACAAGAGGTAATGGGCCTAAAATACAATAGCAAAACTTAGGTAATATATAACAAGCTTTTTAAGAATGCGCGGGTTGCCAACAGCACAGATAAATTACCATACAAAAGTGTCTACTCTTCTCCTTTAGGAATCTTCAGAAGGCATAGAAAAAAAGGACAAGAATTTATCCTCTATTTACCTGCATCCCTAATCTTTCAGAAGGGCACTCACATGAATACCTGGGAATAAACTAAGACTTCTCAAAGTCTGAGGAATGCCACCAAAAAAAAAAAAAAAAAAAAAAAAA